ATAAAACCAAGAAATTAAATAATACTATGAAAAAGATGTGTGATCACAGTGAAAGCAGATATGAAATTAAACATAAACAGTGAGCAAAAGATACGCGCTCGATTACTGCTGCCTAGTGATTCAAGATTTTCTTTAAGATAACATAACGTGCCCTTATGGATGTTTGTTAATATTCGAATGTCAACTCAAAATGAGCATTCAGTGTGAAAACACTTAATTTTTCTGTTGAGCAAAGCCTCTGCTTGGTCTAATTTACAAAAACATATTGGTTTTCCAGTGTTTTAGAAGAGACTTGCTACGGTCTGCTACTGGCTCTTCAAATTAACATTACTTTTTAAGTAATTAAGTGTTCTTGCATGGCAAGACCACTTACTGTTATCTCACATATACAGTGGGGATCGAAAGTTTGGGCACCCCAGCTAAAAATTTGTATTAATGTGCATAAAGAAGCCAAGGAAAGATGGAAAAATCTCCAAAAGGCATCAAATTACAGATTAGACATTCTTATAATATGTCAACAAAAGTTAGCTTTTATTTCCATCATTTACACTTTCAAAATAACAGAAAACAAAAAAATGGCGTCTTCAAAAGTTTGGGCACCCTGCAGAATTTTTAGCATGCACTGCCCCCTTTACAAAGCTGAGACCTGCCAGTGTCATGGATTGTTCTCAATAATCGTCTGGGAAGACCAGGTTATGTCAATCTCAAAGGTTTTAAATGCCCAGACTCATCTGACCTTGCCCCAACAATGAGCACCATGGGTTCTTCTAAGCAGTTGTCTAGAAAACTGAAATTGAAAATAGTTGACGCTCACAAAGCTGGAGAAGGCTATAAGAAGATAGCAAAGCGTTTTCAGATGTCAATATCCTCTGTTCGGAATGTAATTAAGAAATGGCAGTCATCAGGAACAGTGGAAGTTAAAGCAACATCTGGAAGACCAAGAAAAATATCAGACAGAACAGCTCGCAGGATTGTGAGAAAAACAATTCAAAACCCACGTTTGACTGCACGATCCCTCCAGAAAGATCTGGCAGACACTGGAGTTGTGGTACACTATTCCACTATAAAGAGATACTTGTACAAATATGGTCTTCATGGAAGAGTCATCAGAAGAAAACCTCTTCTACGTCCTCACCACAAAAATCATCGTTTGATCTTTGCAAATGAACATGTAGACAATCTGATGCATTTTGGAAACAAGTTCTGTGGACCGATGAGGTTAAAATTGAACTTTTTGGTCAGAATGAGCAAAGGTACGTTTGGAGAAGAAGGGGCACAGAATTTAATGAAAAGAACCTCTGTCCAACTGTTAAGCATGGGGTTGGATCAATCATGCTTTGGGGTTGTGTTGCAGCCAGTGGCACAGGGAACATCTCCCGAGTAGAAGGAAAAATGGATTCAATAAAATTTCAGCAAATTTTGGATGGTAACTTGATGCCATCTGTGAAAAAGCTGAAGTTAAAGAGAAGATGGCTTCTACAAATGGGTAATGATCCTAAACACACCTCGAAATCCACGGGGGATTACATCAAGAGGCGTAAACTGAAGGTTTTGCCATGGCCTTCACAATCTCCTGACCTCAACATAATTGAAAATCTATGGATAGACCTTAAAAGAGCAGTGCGTGACAGACAGCCCAGAAATCTCAAAGAACTGGAAGACTTTTGTAAGGAAGAATGGGCAAAGATACCTCAAACAAGAATTGAGAGACTCTTGGCTGTCTACAGAAAGTGTTTACAAGCTGTAATACTTGCCAAAGGGGCAGTACAAGATATTAACTCTGCAGGGTGCCCAAACTTTTGCAGATGCCATTTTTTTGTTTTCTGTTATTTTGAAAGTGTAAATGATGGAAATAAAATCTAACTTTTGTTAACATATTACAAGAATGTCAAATCTGTAATTTGATGCCTTTTGGAGATTTTTCCATCTTTCCTTGGCTTCTTTATGCACATTAATACAAATTTTTAGCTGGGGTGCCCAAACTTTCGATCCCCACTGTATATTCTTATTATAGCCAAATTTACCACCCTAACTCCTCCCACAGTTTTTACACTACATAGACAGTAATATACCGAAACGTGCGGATTGTTCCCGATTGGTGTGCTATTACTTTGTGGAACGTTTCGCCAAATGGTTCACAAAATATTGACGTTTTTGTGGTGAAATTGGTCCCATAGGAATGGATGGCGGAATGTTCAAAGCTAGAGTGTGAGCTGAAAAATCAGGCCATGTTTTCTTAACTGCCATCACTCCCTCATTTTCAAGCCCACCTACACAAATCTTATATCAAAACGTTCAGCTATCCCTGCTGCCACTAAAAATGTCCTGATAGTTTTCACAACATGACCATTTGTTTGCAACTCCCGCCGCCCATTGACATTCATTGAAACTCCACTCTAGCCACCTCAAATTTGAAGGGCAATTTCTAAACTGCGACTGTGCCTTCATTTTTAATATTTCAGAGACATACTATGCAACCAAATGTAGGTCTGGGTCTTGTGATTCTCACAATATAAAGCTCTTCGGTGTAGGATTTATAATTTTTAAACTACAACCGTTTGAAGATGGCAACCGCCAGTGAAGTGAGCAAGTTGGAGCAGTTTGTTTTTAACCGCTCATCTCTGCCCTTGCTGTAGAGTGAGTTGCCATAGGAACCCACTCCACCCACTCCAGTTGTAGACTACTGGTGGAGGCAAGAACACTTCACACAATTTCCCCAGACATTGTAGCTTTTCTAGTGGGTATTGCTCTTTTGCTACCCAGGTTATTTCACCCAACCTTCCAGCAGCATTAGAATCAACTGATGCCAATATGAAATGTCATACATACATTTGCCCCATATGCAAGTTGGGGTGGAATAGGAAAGAGGTGGGCCTTTGTGGGTCCTTTGCACCTGCACACTTCAAAGAAGAAAAGCTCCACTACAGAATGAGTACAGACGTACACCTAAATGAAATTTGATGCATTAGATGCATTATATAGGTCCATGTGGGAGTACACTTGTAGTGAAACTGTAGGGTGCAAACCTTTTTTTTATATAGGCCAGCCAATGCAGCTTGCACAAATACCAGCAATACAGTTAAGGAAATAAGTATTTGATCCCCTGCTGATTTTGAATGTTTGCCCACTCACAAATGATCAGTCTAAAAAATTTAATGGTAGGTGTATTGTAACACAGAGACAGAATAGCAACAAAAAATTCAAAAGAAATGCATGTCTAACAAATTATGCACTGATTTGCATGTTCATGAGGGAAATAAGTATTTGATCCCCTTCAGAAAACATGACTTAGTACTTGGTGGCAAATCCCTTGCTGGCAATCACAGAGGTCAGACGTTTCCTGTAGTTGGCCACCAGGTTTCCACACATCTCAGGAGGGATTGTGGCCCGCTCCTCTTGGCAGATCCTCTCCAAGTCATTGAGGTTTGGTGGCTGACATTTGGCAACTCGAACTTTCAGCTCCCTTCACAGATTTTCAGATGGATTAAGGTCTTGAGAGCGGCTAGGTCACTCCAGGACCTTAATGCGCTTCTTCTTGAGCCACTCCTTTGTTGCCTTGGCTGTGTGTTTTAGGTCATTGTCATGCTGGAACACCCACCCACGACCCATTTTCAATGCCCTGGCTGAGGGAAGAAGGTTTTCACCCAAGATTTGACGGTACATTGCCCTGTCCATCGTCCCTTTGATGCGGTGCAGTTGTCCTGTCCCCTTAGCAGAAAAACACCCCCAAAGTAGAATGTTTCAACCACCATCATGTTTTGACAGTTGGGATGGTGTTCTTGGGGTCCTAGGCAGCATTCCTCCTCCTCCAAACACAGCGAGTTGAGTTGATGCCAAAGACCTCGATATTGGTCACATCTGACCACAACACTTTTGAACCAGTCCTCTGCATCATTCAGATGTTCAGTGGCAAACTTCAGATGGGCCTGGACATGTGCTTTCTTGAGCAGAGGGACCTTGCGGGCACTGCAGGATTTCAATCCTTGTCGGCATAGTGTGTTACCAATTGTTTTCTTGGTGACTGTAGCCCTAGCTGCCTGGAGATCATTGACAAGATCCTCGTGTAGTTCTGGGATGATTCCTCACTGTTCTCATGATCATTGACACTCCACGAGGTGAGATCTTGCATGGTGCACCAGACCTAGGGAGACTGACAGTTGTTTTGTGTTTCTTCCATTTGCGAATGATTGCACAAACTGTTGTCACCTTCTCACCAAGCTGCTTGGTGATAGTTTGGTAGCACAGTCTAGCCTTGTGTAGGTCTACAATCTTTTCCCCGACATGCTTGGACAGCTCTTTGGTCTTTGCCATGGTGGAGAGTTTGAATTCGGTTTGATTGCTCCTGTGGACAGGTGTCTTTTATACAGGTAACAAAATGAGATTAGCAGCACTCCCTTTAATAGACTGCTTCTAATCTCAGCTTGTTGCCTGTATAAAAGACATATGGTAGCCAGAAATCCTGCTGAATGATAGGGGATCAAATACTTATTTCCCTCATGAACATGCAAATCAGTGCATAATTTGTTAGACATGCATTTATTTTGATTTTTTTTTTGTTGCTATTCTGTCTCTCGGTGTAACAATACACCCACCATTTGATTTCTAGACTGATCATTTCTTTGTGAGTGGGCAAACGTTCAAAATCAGCAGCGGATCAAATACTTATTTCCTTCACTGTATCTTTGTGGATATATACTTTATGGTACCCTCCCAAAACCTTAAAGTGTTACTAAACCCTCAACAGTAAAATCAGTCTGTATATGCAGTAAAGCATGCTGGTTATACTCACTGTGGAACCTAAGGGGTGTTTCTTCCGCATTGTGTAAAAAGGATGTTTGATCCGGTCTTCTCTGATCCTCCCCTTCTATTGTCCCCAATATAACTCCTGATAGAACAGAGGTTTGGGGACAAGCTGCACATGCTCAGTTTTGTGTGTATTGTTATAGAGCTGGGAGAGTGCATGTGATTGCACAGGGTCAATCAGCAATGTCCAGGCAGAGAGGGGTCCTGCAGCCTCATAGGACAATCAGGGGAGAATGAAGCCTCCTCCTACAAGCTTTAACCAGTGTCTGCTGGATACTGATCCTTTCTTCACTGCCCCTCCTCTTGTTGAAATGACCATCTGATACAGACTGAATCCGTAGTCACATGCACATGCTCAGTTTGGTGTGTATTGCTAGAGGTTTTTTTTTTTTTCTTGGGAGAATACATGTGATCAGCACAGGGCCAATCAGCACTGTCCAGACAGAGGGTCAGGGATTTCCATCCTTCTAGAGCAGATAGAAAACTCCTCCTAAAAGCTTTAACCAGTGCTCTGCTGAAGTCACAAGACTGCTCTAACTGCTGATGATAAAAAGGTATTTAGCAGCTTGTTTACTAAAATAATTGCATTTCTATGTTCTGCGTACTGTGGGAGACCAGATATAGTGAATGCAGGGTCCTGGGTTTAGTAACACTTTAAAGCTGAAGTTCTTTAACGCAAACCGGCTTTCAGAAAGAAGACCTGTCTTTTTTTCAGGCAGCAACCAAGTGTCTCGCTGGTGATTGTGATGCAAGACACACAGTTCTTGTTTTATATAGTTTGATGTGTGCAAATTCAAACTGCTTTTAGGGTTTCATCATAAAATGTTAAAATGATTGTATTACCATTTATTTTAAATACAGTACAAACATTACATGCACTGTCCCACCAGTGATGAGTGAATTCTGGTCCCATGGTGTATAAAAGGAAGGGTGAACGTGTAATTAGTCAGAGCCCAGAGGCATATTATGTGAAAGTTATGAGAACAAGAATTAATCCACATTACTCTGGATCAAGAGTGAGCAAGTGAGTCATTTTGAACTCCCTGCAGGTAGCTAGTATCCATGGAAAAGTAGCTGCCCACGCGTCTCAGAGTGAAAGTGTCTGTACCATGAGATTTTTACACTATCAGTGAAGAATTTACTGTTTTGTGAAAACATAAGCATTCACTATTTCAGAAATCTTATGGGTCAGGTCACGGTTTCCTACAGTTTACCAGTGGAATATGGTTCGAGAGAATGTCACATTTCTCCCTACAGCAATCGGCCCCCTTTGGGCCAGGGCTGCAGGGAGCTGAGAGAGGACACGCTTGAAAGCTTACCTGAAGTCAAAGAAAAATAGTTAATGAAATATTCTACCAACAACCACCATTTTTGAAGTCTTACCGCCAACTCCTGTTACAGCAGCTGAGCAGAGGACTCTGCAGTCCAAAGGGCATTTGGTTTAGACCCACTGCTCTGCATTTTCAATTATCAAAAGTAAAAGACTTCGACATACTGTATAGTCATAGACAGTACTCCCCCATCTTCCCCTACAATACAGGTCTGCATAGGGACACTTTTACTGAGGTTGCTACTAAGATTAACAGCATACAGCACTGCAGTGTGATGGCAGGAAACAGCATTCCCACTGGATGGAAAACAGAGTGAATAGGTCTCCCAGGAGCAGGTACAGACCCTGTCTAAAAAAGGCAGACGGTGGAAGATGGACCACCCTTCTACACCTCAACAGCTGGTAAAAGCATGTTGCGAAAGTTGTTCCTGATCTTTAAACCTACCTGGGCTTCTTTGAGAAGGTAGCAGAAAGAGGTGCTACCCGAGGAGCAGCAAGACGTTATGCTATAATGGTGTGAACCTCCTGCGCTCAAACACTAATGGTGTAAGCAACCTAATTGGGAGCTGCTGCTAACATTAAATCATATACCAATGATCATGTAAAACAGTTTGAGGAATGTAGCGCTACTCCCATAAACTACTACATATAAATACATAAATATATAAGTGAGAAAAAATACATATAATATATGTAATATAGTGCCAAATTAAGTGAAAACATGCAAAATAATTAATTAACAAGTGACACTACTATATGTTAACACAAAAAAGGCTCAGCAGTGATGGTGAAAAATATTAATTCCAGCTGTAAAAACATAAATTACATTCAAATAATAATTGACTCATGAAAAATCTAAAAAAATGTGAGCAATGCTGAGCCTTTTTTGTGTTCACATATAGTAGTGTCACTTATTATTTTGTATGATTTCACTTAATTTGGAACTATATTACATATATTATATGTATTTGTTTCTCACACACACACACACATATATATATATATATATATATATTTTTTTTTTAAATGTATTTATATGTAGTAGTTTATGGGAGTAGCGCTACATTCCTCAATGAAGACGTTATGCTATTACCTTTTTTTTTTCTTTTGAAAACTGGACGCCCAGAAGGCCTACTTTGGCTTACAATCCCAGGATGCTAAAGAGTATCCTAAACTTAAATAGCCAAGTTTACCTTAGTTGTCTGAGCGCAGCATATTTTTGCATGGAAATATGTCCCTGGGAAGCCCCCAAGGTCCCATATGTATGATTTGTTGTACCTTACAAAACATGTTTTTGAAGCTTAAAGGTGCTCAAGCCTCTACCAAAAAGGAGTCCCATCTTTAAGAGAGACACAGCATACTATGTGTAGGCGGTGCCCTATAATACACAAGCTAATGGAATGTGACTTGGGGAAGCGTACGTAACTATTTGCTCATTAGCCCTTTCTTGCAGCACACTTGGGACAATCAGACATATTTGCGTTCCATTCTCAGATCCTAAGTCAATGCCCAGTGGAAGCATGACTCCAAGAGACTTGTAATTTTGGTCTATGCAAGTCTGGTGGACCCTGCCAAGCTTGGTTCAGACCGTATGAAAGTACTCTGTATATGTGGCAATGCTCAAAGGATGCTAAAGGCAATCCCACTGTGGTGCTCAAAGTGGAGACACCTAGAGTAAATGTAAAGCAGATCATTGGAGTGATAGCTAACCTGCTATACAGTATGATACTGGGTTGTGATTTTCCCCAGTTTTGGCACTGGGTTGGGGAGGGGAGGTAATAGTAACCAGGTGTGAAAGTATGTCTGCAGTAAAAGAGTTTACTCTTTTGCTTGAACTTGAGGGAATGGTGGTAACCCCATGGCAGAGTTACCCAACAACTTCCCACTAGTGGCCATGGCTGGAATGTCAGCAAAAACGGCCCCCATGCTTCACTTCAAGATTTTGGGATTGCACAGTTAGACAGAATCCCATTTTGTAGATGCATAGAAAAAAACCTGTAAAGCTACTCAATGGGGTACCACTAAAATCATAATTTATGCAGTATACCCTCTATTTTGCAGCATCTCTTGACTTAACGTATCATGGAAAGAATAGGTGCAAGTTGTGGTTTCCCCAGTATCATAGGATGGTATTGGATCTGGACCATTTCTCATATGTTGCGTGGTCACTTAAGGGTAGACAAACATATTGAACTGCCTTTTTTTCTGGCCCAGTATTTACAAAGCCATTAAAGAGCACTGTATATCTTGCCCTAAACGCCAAATGTATTTACCACTTCCCCATTTCCAAAGTCTGCTAGTACTTTTGCCTACAGTTAAAAAATGTCCTTTTTTGAGAAGGTTGCTATGCATTTGGTTTGGCCACTGCAAAAGTCTGCCAGGAGACACAAACACATGACTATACCACCCAGTATCCAGAAGCAATCCCCCTCAGAACAGCTTTTAAGTTTATAGAAATAGAGCTGTTCCATGTGTTTTTCTGTACAAGTACTGCTGGGGAAATTTTGATGGATCAAGGAACCCCTTTCAGGTAAAAAAAATGTAACCAAAGAGTTGACTTGGTTGCTGAACATTACTTGGCTATGCTCCTCTGTGTACCACCCACAGACTGGTGGGCTGGTAGAACCATTCAATAGAACCCGGAAGGTGTGCTAAGAAAATGTAATGCCAACTTTGGATAGTATATTTCTGCAAAGCCAGCAGGGCTGCTATGAAAGGAGAGTGAAAATCAGTGATGTCAACCAGATATGCCAGCCCAAAAAGAGACAACACCTCCAAATATGCCATGTTAACTTTTTAAAACCCAAGAAGGATTAGGGGTTTCCATCAGCAGAAAGCAACCCTAAAGTATCACCACTGAAAGGTATACCAAAGTTTAGGATATCAGAGACTATCTGCTCTTATTCAGGAGGTTGGAAATGTTTGCAATAGAATTACTTGACCTAACTAATGCAATTTAGCACGGAACTGGGAAAGAGACTCATGTCAAAGTAAAGTTAAAACCTCATCAGGGACCTGACGCTCAGAGAACCATTTCAGAAAATGTACAGAAAACATTGCTATGGACGCATCACAGAGCTGCATGTATACTGCATTTTGGCAAAATGTTCTCCTTCCCACAGGCCTGAGCAGAGGTGAGGTTATGTGAGGCCCTGGCTGGCAGAGATGTGGGCAGTGTATATGGGGCACCTAGGTTTCTCACACACACATGTAAGTGTCTTCAGAATTTGTCGATCATGGAAAACGAACGTTAATTTCACAGATCTTAAAAGGCAAGTTATCTTTTCACAAAAAATGAAAAAGGTGAAACAACTCCAAATATCCTGCCACCCCTCTTTATCCAAGAGCACAAGCAACAACTGTCCTCTATGTGTATTCTATCTGTATTCATAAGCATCTTTAGCACCCAAATATTTTACCTCTGTAGCATTGGTTTTCAGCAAAAGTACTACAAAAAGGAACCAGAACCACTTGATATCAGTCTTTAGCAGTGATCATTTACCCTAATACCAAGTGGCACCAAAACATGAAGTGAGGGGAAGTCTTCCTGGTGGAGGAGCAGATGGAAACAGAAGCCACACCACTTATAATTTAAAAATATTTTTGGTAGACCTACTTTAAATGCCCAGTTACTTAGATTACAGTACAGTCTAGTAGATCATCTGACTGATGGATGCAGGGGCAGAGAAAGCATTGTTCTACATTTAATGAAGATGTTTTATTGTCATTTAGCTAACTCCTTATATGTCCAAGGCAAAGCTGAAATGTGCTGCTTTGCTTGTGTGTGGCCAGGACTGCAAACTCTTTATGAAATCACAATAGAGGAGTGTAGGGTTTCATTTACTCCCCAGGCTACTCGGAAATACTGGACTGAAAGAAGTCCAAACACCAGTCCACCAAAATAATACAAATAGTTGTGGGAGGACAGCTACTTTACTTGAAGACTTTTCTTATTCCCAAATAAAAAAAGCCTAGAGGTCATTCTTGAGCATGATATTTTCCGGAGGCCGTTTCACACTAAGCTTATTAGCTTCATAGTAAGAGCAGATGTGGGCTGAGAAGCTGAGCAAGAGCTGAAAGTGTGCTACAAGGAAGATGCCCATTTAGATCAAAAGGCTTAAAAAAGAACAAAAAGTACTGGAAAACAATTTGTGTAAAAGGTATCATTTTATAGAAGCGTTAATATCGCTGGAACATTCAGTTATTTAGAGAGATTTTTAAATGATGGTATTCAATCATGAAGCTGTGAAATGTTCCTGTAAACAGCCATCAAATGTGAGAATTGAAGGCAGGAGCGTGTACTAGCGTCATTAAGGCAAACTTCACTTCTGTAGATTTGCACTGCCCTCCATATCCAGGTTGAAGAACCATGCAACCCCTTCTTCTGAAACCAGGCGGTCACAGACATGCCGCCTG